GACCTTAACTAACCAAATCACCTTATACTCGATCAAATAGGCCAGATTTAGAGTATATATACCCCTTTTTGGGGTTTGCCGGTGAGTTTTCTTGACTCGTAAGCTTGAATTTTGTGACGATGTTACCTCGCTCTGATGATGTCCGTCATGTGATCAGGAATCGAAGGAGATTGCCTCGGAAACAGCGTCAGCATGAATGTTCCAGTAAAGCCAATCGACAGCTGGTCAAGCAGGAGATTGCCTCGGAAACAGCGTCAGCATGAATGTTCCAGTAAAGCCAATCGACAGCTGGTCAAGAGGACTCAGATTGCCTCGGAAACAGCGTCAGCATGAATCTTCCAGTAAAGCCAATCGACAGCTGGTCAAGAGGAATCTGCGATTGCCTCGGAAACAGCGTCAGCATGAATCTTCCAGTAAAGCCAATCGACAGCTGGTCAAGAGGAATCCACCGTTGCCTCGGAAACAGCGTCAGCATGAATCTTCCAGTAAAGCCAATCGACAGCTGGTCAAGAGGAATCCGCAGTCCTCGGAAACAGCGTCAGCATGAATCTTCCAGTAAAGCCAATCGACAGCTGGTCAAGAGAAATTCGCCGTTGCTCGGAAACAGCGTCAGCATGAATCTTCCAGTAAAGCCAATCGACAGCTGGTCAAGAGGAATCCGCCGTCTTCTATGATGTTCGTCATATGACGGACGAAAGCTTAGCACCTTTTCACCGGAATCGAAGAAGATTACCTCGGAAATGCATGAATCTTCCAGTAAAGCCAATCGACAGCTGGTCAAGAGGAATCCGCCGTCGTCTTCTGGTGGAATCGAACTTCGAATCTCTTCACCCACATGAATCTTCCAGTAAAGCCAATCGACAGCTGGTCAAGAGGAATCCGCCGTCGTCTTCTGGTGGAACCGCCCCAATCGACAGCTGGTCAAGAGGAATTCGCCGTCGTCTTCTGGTGGAACCGAACTTCGAATCTCTTCACCAAACACTTCTACTCGAAATGGAAGTAATCCCAAGAACGCACCTAGTTCGAAGTCGTCTGCCATAGTAGTTGTCATGATTCCCAGCATCTGACAGTGGACTTG